ATTGCCACCACCTAATCCTTGGTGTTACTACTTGTCGACGTTTTTGGATTTTACTCATAATACACACATCAAGGACTAAGGACCCTATGTTGTGTCGTTACAGCATCTCCGGGAATCACCTTACAATTTTTACAAAGTTTTCTATCTGTGTTCCTAACCAAAAGAAAATCAATCTGTGACCTTGAGGCTCCACTTTTGTAAGTGATGAGATGCTCATCTCTCTTCTTGAAACAAGTGTTGGCAATCTTAAAATCATACGCCAATGAGAAATCAAGAAGAGTTTGTCCTTCATTGTTTAGCTCTCCAAAACCAAAACCACCATGCACCCTCGCATACTGACCAGCTTCCCTCCCAACATGCCCATTAAAGTCTCCTCTAATAAAAATCTTTTCACTCTGTGGTATGTGTCGAATCAACCCCTCCAGATCCTCCCAAAATAATTCCTTAAGACTGGCTTCTGTCCCGACTTGCGGCGCATAAGCGCTAACAATATTAACAGTCTCACATCCAATTATCATTTTTAAAGAAATAATTCTGTCTCCAATTCTGCTAACTTCTACAACGTTCTTCTTCCACTCCTTATCTATAATGATGCCTACTCCATTGCGTGCACTTACTTTTCCTGTATACCAAAGTTTGAAACCTTGAATATCCTTAGCTTCTTCTCCACGCCATTTTGTTTCTTGCAAGCAAAGGATATTGATTTTCCTTTGAATCATAACCCCTACAACCTCTATAGATTTACAATTTAATGTCCCAACATTCCAAGTACCAAATCTAATTTTGCTCTTATGGACTAACTTCTTTAGCCGCGTGCGTCCAGAATGACGCGGTAGCTCTTGCTCATTTAACACTACATCCGGGCGCTGATGCAGCGGCTCAAACTCACTTATCACTGTACTCGAGCCATGCAGCGCGTTACTTACGGGCAACGACCTAGCATTAACATTATAACGTCTATTGTCCATGTTCATGATAGATTCAACAAATTTTTACATTGGCTGTTGATGGCCTAACACAACCCTCCTCCTTTACCCGGGCTTGGGACCGGCTATAAACATAGGCGGAGTTGCGTTTGAGACCACTCTTAGGTGAAAATAATGGTGATTGTAATAAGATGTGATCATATGTGATGGGATGTTGTGGAGTTATATGTGATGATCACATGACGTAATTTGTTACATGTGAAATCAATGAGTTTGATATTGTGATGACACAGATGTTGAAATGTGTGAGTGTAAATCATTGCATGATCATGTTGTCCAAAGTTTACCTAAGAAGATAAGTAGATAAATTCACGTGGCATGGCTACCTTTCAATATCTAAAGGCTAACGTTGTCCCACTGTTTGTTTAGGGATTGTCCCATTATTTATCAAGAGACTTAAATTTAGCTATCTCCACATGTTTGTCAAGGAGACTAGTTTAGAATTTATGACACCCCAGGAATTCAAGAATGAGAGAAATTGTGTTTTGAGAGTGGGTGTAGTGACCTTTTCCTGAGTTGTTTTTCACAATTGGAAAGTTTAGGCAACCCATTCACATTGATAGAGCCATGTTTGAATTATAACTCATGGTTTCAGTATAAGGAAGATAAAAGGGAGGAGTCTATCATGCACATTATTCAACATATCACATGGTTGTTAAATTTGTGATCAGTTATAAGTATTGATTATTTTATGATCACATGATTGTTATTGTTGTAGCAATGAGCATTATGGAATGATTTGTGATGAATGATGAATTGTGTTGATAATTTGAGTTTTATGTGAATAAATTGTGGTTGATATATTTATAGGAATATACATGTTAAGTTGTCAATTAATATACAATTACATAAAATAGATGTATATTATTTATTAAATGGTTGTATGTATCCTCTCTTTTAATATTTTACAAGCACTAACTCAAGTATGGAAAAAAGAAAGGCTGTCAAGGCTTAAGAATTATCATATTCCTATTATAAAGCCCTTATACTCATTTTGATTCATGTGTAAATTAAGATGATAATTACCAACTAGGGTCATATTTTGTTTTACACTTGTACTATGTGACTTGCATGATTGTGTTGATGTATTTTGGGCCCTGGAGTCATTATGTGAGCATGAGTTAATTTCAATAGGGTTAAAATATTAGTAAAAGTGTAAGGGTAATTGTTATACTATCAACATTTGATTATTTTGAATATATTCAATGTTAAATCTTCCTTTTTTGTTTTTGATATCAAGGGATTAAGGTTCAAAATAAGAAATGAGTATTATATTGTGACTATGTTGTGTTACACAAGTAGTCTTAGGTTCATTATATGTGGTTAGAGGTGTGGATTGTAACTTTTGGCACATGTGTTGATTTTGGACACCCTTGATATGGGAAGGTATGAAATATTTGTAAAAATGTATTTGAGTATCCTATTCGCTTATGTGAAATTATTTGGACATATAAGTAAGGTTAGCTTTGGTGTGTTTCCTATAATTCTATGCTTCTCAAGATCCTAATTTGTTGCTAGGTTCAGACTTATATTTTAATCATTCATATAAACTAAGTAAGTGGTTACAAGTTGCACATCTTCAAAATATACTATATTACTTTATTGGCCTTCAACTAGATTTAAATATTTGAAATTCAAATCCACCCATTTAAAAATATTATGCTGTTGTAAACTCAAAGCCCAACGTCAATCCTTTTTATGTTGTCAAATTATTTTAAATAATTATGAAATATTGAGTTTTGAATTTTGAAGATTTAAATTAGGTATGCTAAATATAAATAAACTTAAGTATCTATGCATGCTACTTTAAAGATTGGCTCGTTTGTTGTTGGGATAAAAAAAAAAAATAGTGATTTTTAGATATGTTATAAATTTTGGAAAAAGATATACACTTTATGAGACAATATATGAAACAAATATTATTTTATGTTTGGTTATGGTAAGAAGATCTTCCTATTATTTAGTTTTTTTAAGATTATGTAACTAGATTATCTTATTTGATTAGAAAGTATACCAAATTTAATTTCACAGATTGATTGTGTTTCAAAATTTGTAACTTTAAATTACATGTAATTTGTATTTAATAATTTCATAAAAATTTGGTAGGTTGGTTCATTTAAAATCAATCCTTTTATTTAATTTTAATGCTTATTTATCCATAAAATTACTTAATATGTAACTCATTTAAGAAAAAAAAATTTGTCCTATTTATAAGTCATTGTATTAAATTTTCAATACAAATTTTCTTTTTTCCTTTATTAAATGTCAAAAAAAGAAAATATATTGTTAAAATATATATATTTAATAGGAGTAAAGTTGATAATTTATTAAATTTTAAGATAGAGTTAATAAATTTTAATTTTTTTAATTTCGGTGAAACATGTTAGAATTAATTTATAAATAAAATCAGAAAAATAATGTGTATATTTATTTAAGATGTATATTTAAAAGGCTGATAAACTTTATAAAATATTAAAGCCGTTACACTTTTTCTCCCATTATTGAATTCAGTTCGGGATACCGTGCTGCACAAATTTTATAAACATTTGTATTTATTATATTCAAATCATAGTCAATAGTAGTATTTATTAATTTAAATTTTGTAATCGTGGACAATATTTAATAAATATTTTTGGTTACACAAAATAATCTCCTTGAATTTTAAAACTTTGACATTAGTTCCCAAGATATGCAACTTGTCCGGCCAAAAAAGAAAGACATGTAATTTGGATAAAATTGTCAATAATTTTAATAGGCATCACCACCAAAGCATTGGGAGACCCTAAACTTTAATCCCAATTATTTTTTAAAAACTTTGTGTGCACCATTCTCTTTTACAGCCTATCTTTAAAAACTTATTTTTTTTAATCCCAATTACAAATGAGCCAATAATTTTAAAGTAGGCCGAACAAATACATAAATTTATTTATATTTAGCACACTTAATTAAAATCTTTGAAATTCAAAACTGAATATTTTACAATTATATAAAGGATAAAATTTATGTACTTAATTTTATATACTTAATAAAATTTTATCTAATTAAATCAAAATAAGTAAATTTAAATGTTCTAAAATATTAATAACAAAAATTTATTATAAAATAAATAATTTATAAATAATACATATGTCTTAATTTAATTAGAAACAAATACCTTAAGTACATAAGATTAAGTATATAAATTTTTTTCTTATATAAAATAATTTGACAACACAAGGAATTGTGTTCAGTTTTATATTATAATTTTGAAGTTATATAACTTCTAAACACCCTTTTAGTTTTTATATAAAAATTAAAAAAAATTAATCATTTGATTTTTATAATTTTAATTATAACTCAATCCTTGAACTTTGATTTGTCATAATTTAATCTCTATAATTTTGACTCAGTTGTAAATCAATCTCTAAACTTTATCTCTAACAATTTAATCTTTAAAGTTTCAACCTCTTAGATATTGATTCTTATATTTTAAAAAATAAAATTATAAAGATAAAAAATATTTTAAACTTTTAATGCTTATAATATTTATAAATATTAAAAAGGTTTAGTAATTTAAGATATTAGTAATAAATTTAAAAATATTTTTAATTTTTATAATTTTATTTTTTTAAATATAGTGACTAATATTTAAAAGGTTAAAACTCTAAAGACTAAATTACAAAAAACAAAATAAAAAATGATTTACAGCCGAAACAAAACTTTAAAAATTAAATTATAACAAATTAAAGTTTAAAAACTGAATTATAATGAGTCAAAATTTAGGCACTGAATTATAACTTGATTAAAATTAAAAAAACTAAATGATTTTTTTTATAAATTATCCAAAAAAAAAATCTGAACCTAACAACAAGCCAGTATTCAAATCTAACTCTTGAAGCCCAATATCATGGAAAAGGCATGACAAAACACACCAAACTAATACTACTTTTACAAATATAATATAATGATGACGACTATCCTGAGAAACTCAACAGAACATTAAAAATCATAAAACGAAAGCATTGCTGGCCATCATTACTATAATAAATTTTCTGGCAAAAAATAATGGTATAGAAAAGTTCATTAGCTATCTAGGGGGAAAAAAAACGGAAAAGACCAATGAACTAAAACATTTGGTCACATAACAAAGCAGAAGTATAATTTAAAATTCTACATCTAGTATCCAAGAAGGGGCTTCTTGAAAGAAAATGTCAAAAATAACTTGATGCTGTCACAGCTAAGATAAACATATGTTTTCCCAACATGAATTCGAAGTAACAATGAAGGAAAAATGATGTGTTAATACTTGGAAATGATGTAATTGCCTTGTGTGTCTCAAACTAAACCTAGCTCTTCCTTGAGGGCCTTAACTGCCTCTGATACACCATCCTGTAATTTGGAGCATCATTGTGAAAAGATATCAGCATGGTTATGGGATCTTTCCGAACATAATTTATGTTTTTTAAAATGTTTTACTGAAAAAAATACAAGACTGGCGTTAGTCACAGAGCAATAAAGATCCATAAAACAAAGTTGAGATTTTTTTTTTTTTTGGAATAAAAATTTAGATAAATTAGGTATCAAGGATTTACAAAAGCTAAGGCAGGCATGAGACTCAAAAAGTATTTATAAAGATGCTTATAAATTTCTTATTAACAAGATCAGAAAATCAATAGTGGGATTTCCACACTCTAGTGAGTCCTATCCTTGTCAATTTCTTACTATGCGATGCAATTTCTAGTTCCAAAAAAAAAAAAAATACTGGAAACTTCATTCGTACTGAACGAGCACAATTACAAACAGAGTAACACACATAGAGAGTTCCAAAAATTTTAAATTTGATAAGATTACAAACACAATACACTGTAATTTATCATATATATATATATATAATGTACATAAATTAAGAATAACTTACCGTACTGTAATAAATTACTGTTATAGAAAGAACCAATGTCAGAAAAATAAACTAAAGATGTAAAAGGTGGCAAATGTTTCAAATAAATGGACAAACTAAAATCCTACTACCTAATTAAGATAAACATATTTGGTTTTCCAAGTATATATTTGTGGACAGGACGTTTGTTCAACACTGTTGACTTCAAAAAGGAGAGGAAGACAAACAGAGGAGCATAAAAGTTCAACAGGGAGTCATAAAGATATTTATTTCATAATTTATATATTGCAATGTGACAATATAAAGTATATACTGTATACTACATGGTGATCCAAACAAGAGAAATTCTTAACTGCATTCACCCATGTGATGAATAGGCATTACCTCGTGTGATATTCTTTCAGCAATTTCAGCCGCACGTGCTTTGACCTTAGGCGATAATGCATTGTGTATTGCTGATGAAAGTGCATGTGCAGCTTCCTGGACACTTCTCTCATCATTTTTATCAGGAAGCAGATGGTTTCTATGGAGTGGTTCTGATGAAACACCAAGCCAATATGTTCTCTCAGCCCAATAAAACTGATCTAACATGAAAGGACACACAACCTGCAAGTTTTCTGAAACCAGTCAAGCTCATCTGAAGATGCATCATCATCAGCATCCTGAGAGTTTCATAGAGCTGGAAAGGTTTCTATAGGATGAAGCATGTACAGGAACAAGGATTTAATTCACAGTTCCTTACTAACCTGTGGTGTACCTGCCCGCAACGCAGCTGCAGTAGTTCCACTAAATTAAAGGAAAAGAATACAAAATAAAAGTTAGCAACTGCAAGTGGCACCCTAGAGTGCCAAATTATCAAAACACCAAAAAGATCAAAATGCAAATTCTCCTACCTGCCTCCATGGTGAATTACAGCAGCACATTTTGGGAAAAGCCAATGATATGGCATGGATCTGTTCACATGAAAGAACAGTCATCTTTAAGAGAATGTCATTCAATAAACATTTTGCTTCTTTTCAAAAAGTATCAGCAGAAAAATGAAACTGAAAATCTTTTAATCAAAACTCAAATTGCCAAAACCCAGCGAGTTGCATGCCCCTTTGTTGAAATCCCAGCAATTGTTTCAGAAGTTCTATTTTACATGAACTGGTAACCCACTTTTCTTGCACTGAAGACAACGGGAAAACCCACCCAGAAAAGCAAAGAAGTCGCCCACTGAAAAGAGCAACACAATCTTCACTTAGACATCTCTGATTTGACGTTTCATCAGCGAACATGTGAACCACTGATTCTAAAGGTTTATACCCCGCTGTAAAAAGAATAAATCTGAAACTTGCCATCACCAGAACAGTCTGAAGAACACAAATAAACGTACGAGGGTCTTTCAGAAAACCCATGCTGCATGAGAAAACAGTAAGGTTAGGTTTAGAGAATATACATCAACAAACAAAAATGCTGTCGCAAAAACTAAGAGTCAAATTCAAAACAATTCATACCTTCCTATAGAACTTAACCCAACAAAAATTGGTGTAGTCTTTATAAAGTTTTGCAATTGTACATGTCTGAGACATAACTGATCTTTAGCACGTTTATGTTCTGACGAGCCAACTATTGATACTTCTCTGCACAGTGTACATGTAAACTGCCATTCCATAGGGAGGAACCAAAAGCCACAAACCCGTACTTTTGATGGCCAATATGCTGCCAATGCCCTAAAATTAGTAGGGTAAAATTAACTCTTAAAACTAGTGACCTAGAGGAATCTTGCAACACCACCAAGTAGAACATTAAATTTTGTCAAGAATGAGGCTTGTAACATTTATATTCCCCTACATGGATATGGAAACAAACTTAGGCACATGCCAGTTCCCAACTAATTTTGACTTTGCATAGTTCTCACAACAAAGCATTCATAACCCGGAGACTATTGACATGAATAATAAATCATACAATTTGATTTTAAACAAATCTCTGCTCCATTTTCAACAAAATATGATAGGCAAAATGAAATTGAACAGTACATGCAATACACGTATAACCCAAATTATATTGGTCACAGCTCATTGTTGTGCAAAATACATCTTTGGCCCTAACAGACAATAGAATGGAATAGCATAATTTGAGAAGCATTAAGTGGAAGCAATACTACATCTCTAGCAAAACAGGCCTAGCCACACAAACACTGCAGCTGCCATGTCTCAATACAAAGGTCAAATAGATAAATAACTCCCAGATGAATAAAGAAAAGTAAAGGACATATATGTAAACAGAAAACAATAACAAGAGAAAGCAAGTACCTCTAGGGTTTTCGTTTTGAGTAAACAACTCAATGAACAGGTAATGTAATGACAATTGACAACGATAAATATCGGTGGTGTGAAGAGGTATAGAATTTTGCTTTACCAAAGACATTAAACATACCAGGGCATTCAACCACTTCTTTACTAAATCCATACCTGTTGCAGAGAATCAGATCATAACATCAGAATTATATATTGGATATCTTCTCTATAAATAATGCATGCTCCACATAAATGCCCAGAAGAAGAATTGGAGAAAAAAAAATCTACCAATCACACTAAAGTAAGTCTACACCAGAAAAATCTAACTTGTCCACTAATGGCAAACAAGGAAAATTTATTCATCTAATGGTAGCTAATGTGTCCTGTGCCACATTTTTCATGACTTGTGAACAATGTAGCTCCCTAAACATCTTGTATAATAAATGATAGAGTACAATAACGTCATATAATTCATATAGCCGACCCCACTTAGTGGGATAAGACTTGTTGTTGTTGTTGTTGTATTGATTTCTTTGGCTTCACAAAACTTTTACCAGTCAAAAACTACAACATAAAGTTGTTACTAAAAGAAGACCCCAATCTCCAGTGGCTTGTAGGCCGTAACATTTATCATTTCCAACTTCCCTACAACTTAAACCTTGTTCACATATTTAAGTACACAAAAAACACAGACTATATGAGTAATAAGTCCAAGAGAACACCAATAATACCAATGTAATGATCATACTAATTAGCATCCAAAGGAAGGATTTTTTTTTTTTTTTTTTCCTGGTAAGAGAATAGTGTTAGGGGGAAAGCAAGTAGAAGAGAAACTAACATATACTGGAAGCAATTATTTATGTAAGAGGTCTTTGTTGAAGCTTGAGTATTTATAAATAGTGTCTGCTTTTAGTATACATAACTTACATCACAAGTGGAGATTGAGGCCTATGATGCCAAGTAGGGACGCCTGTTACGGGATCCTTCAACCACAAAAGAAGCAACTATTAAGTTTTAAAGAAAAGAAGACGCCCATTACTACTCTTAAGTGTAACAAGTCTACAGTAATCTGACCCAAGTAGTTTAAAAGTTGTTTGAATCTCTAACTTGTAGCAATGGAATTTATAGTACAAAATACAGCAGAAAAGCATATACAAAAAACACTGACAGTGAAAGGGCATTGACTCAGATGTAAATCATCATATCTCCATGATCCCCAGTGTTCAGTGAAAAGAGGCCACATCCAGTGAATCACATCCTCCCAGCAGACCTGCATGTAAGTAGGAAGATCACTTTATGCAAGTACTAAGTAGAAAGAAAACATCATCACATGTGTATCAAAAAGAGGGGGGCAGGGAAGAAAACACAATTACATGCAGCAACTAAATGAAGAAGTACCTTGTCACATGGACCATCATTGAGATACTTATACAAAAGAGGAAGCTCCTTGCAGAATTGGCGCTCAAATGATGCAGGTGCACTACATACCAGATCAATAATCAGAATATGATGATATCCCACCTAAGTGTTTTCAGCAACTAGATTGTAACTAAGCAGACATGACACTTTATGTTCACATATCTTGATAGAATAATTTTAGAAGACAAAAAAAAAAAAAAAACTCAGTATTCCGAGGGCAAAACTGAATGATTAGGGTACAGTGCTGCTTCTGGTCCCACTAAACACTTGATTGATATTGAAAGCAATTATATCCCAACCAGATCCAAGAAAGTTATAAAAAGGCATGTTTATTCAACCAATGGCCCATTTTTATCATAAAGCATAATATAATTGAAAATGGCAGGTTATTAGTAACACTCATCTAAAAACTTGAAAGTTCCCAAATGAAACGTGTATCTATGGCAAGTTCACTACCTGGTAGTTATTGGCAGTAGAGTTTCTACATTTCCAGTTTTGCATTATAAGTGAAAGAAAGCTTATTTATCCAAATTTTAAATTTTGAGCCCTCCGGGGATGATATTAAGACATCAGCAATCTTATGAGAGTGACTGCTCACAATAGGTCAATTCCAAAACGTTCGATGATATAGAAGCAAGATAAAAATCAAAATACCTGTATGGAACAACGTAGGGTGCAGCTAATATGCAACGGACATGAAAAAGTTCTGCAAGGCTCCAGCCTTCCTGAACCAAAACATTTTCCCTCTAAGAAAAATTCAGAATTGAGTTTTTATTTTGCTTCAATTTAGCAAACAGACAGATATATGCATAAATTATAAAAATCCGAGGTGTTCACAAGACTTCTCCAGTTAATCAGAGTCACAGAAATATTTTACTATTGTACTAATTTATTAATCAGGAACAGATCAATGACTCTCTCCCAATATACATGCTATCAAATTAGAGACATATTCTCATGAATTATACAGAGTTTATGGAATGAATTGAACTACCAAACAACATTTGAGTAGTGCAACTTATTATAGATTTTATATTTTATCCTGATAATGGATGAAGGTTCTACTATTATCAAATCTGTTTGTGTCCTTTAAGACAAAGAAAGTTGTACGCAAATTGTGCTGAAATTCCTATTCCAGCATCACTATTTTTTATAAATCCAAATCACAGCTGTGATTAATAAGTCTTAGCATCAAAGCACATACAAAATAATTTTAGTAACTTGATTTAGTAGGCTATTTTGACTTCATCTTCCAATGTAAATACCAGTGCAAAAAAATTAATCACAATAAGGTCACCCTCCAGGCATTGGCCCTCTCCAAATATCCTTTCAACTGCAGAATAGCACTCTTTTCTGTGATCTCGTGTAACGATCTGTTTCTGCAGGGCAAAGGATGGCTCTGATACCCCTGATAAGACAAAATATTCAAATGTTCCATAACTCTCCTCCTTATAACAGAAGTTTATATTTCATATGGAGATCCAAGTTGATTGTTGAAACCTGAAATGCCATTATTCTGATCAACAGAAAGAACTGGTGGTGATGAAACAGAACAATATTCAACATGCTTCTCAGCCAGGTGAGAACTTAAACTCTGAAAGAAAAAATTGATCAACCTGACGATTACAGCAGTAGAAAAACATTGTGTCACAGGAAATTTACAATAACCCTAGCAGAAAGTATTACATATCAATTACCTAAGATGACCAAATTGACAACACAGTTAATCATACAACCGAGCTAATATGTGGATCTCTGTAACAGTAAAGGAATGCTTGCTCTTCTATTAGCAGTGCCAGCTCAAAGGGGAACTATGGTAACTGGATAAGCGATCACAACCGCAGCAATGATTTATTTTCATTTAAGTGCTGTTATGGGTTATGTTTGGTTTAGATAATCCTTATCTATAATTCACGCGGGACTAAAGAAGATCAAAGCCATCCAAAGTGACTAAACTACTATAATGCTCTTCTAGACTTGAAATGCAAACCTCATGCGCTGAATGACTTATTAGAATGACATTGTACTGTTTCTGGTCAGAAGCAAAAGCTGCAGCAATGGCCTGCAAGCAACAATAATGCAGATAGTCGCAATTTAAACTTCATAAACAAAAATACCAGAAACACAGCAGGGCACTCCACTACGACATTTTTGTATATTAGCATCTGACAGAATTTTTTTTTCTTTTTTTTTTCTTTTTTTTTTTTTTGCTTTTCCTGCTTGAACGTTTGGCGAACTGACTGAACAAGGTTTAGTGATAGAAACAGAGAGAAATAAAATCCAACCAAAAAACTTAGTAATATTAAGTGTATGAGAAATAAATTCAACACTACTTAATTCTTAAAATTAAAACCATTATCTAATTCTATATTAACCTTCCAATTCCTTTAACAAGTTGTAGCCAGCAGCCACTACCATACCATGTCACAACTCTGTTTAAAATTTCAATACAAGTAGTTACTGAATTAAGTTATCACCATCTGGAAAACACCAGCTACAACGGTGAAACTCTGTTTGACCACTGACCAGCAATAATGTCCAAAACATTTTCACGAATTAGCGTAGTTCCGCAACTTCCATTGATAAGTACGAGTCTTTCAGAAACCTGAGGTATTAACGGTTAACCTTCTACAAATTTCCCGCATAAAGTTGAACCAAAGGCGAAAACTTTTATTCCCGGAAATAACAAAGCCAATCGTTAAGCCATACAACTGCATCAAGTGCAGGTAATACTAGCTCAGAATTCACATATTTGCAATATTTTCTGATTTCCAGCCATTTTACCGGGAAACATTCAAGAATGAAACGAAAATAGAGAAGAAAAAGGTGCACTCACAGCGATAGGATACACGTCGCCTTTAGTACCGAAGGCCATGAACACTGCTATTGGTTTTTCTCTCGCCATGTCTAACCGTATCGCAGGAAACAACGACCCTCAGACCAGGATAAATCAATCACGGCAACGAGAAAGTTCGCTAAGCCACCGGTCTGGTTTTTAGATGCTCCGGTTTGATCAACCGCTACAAAAATTTAAAATTAATTTGTTAAAAGAGCTTTTTTTTAACTCAAGATAAAATGAAATACCGGTTAGGACACTAAGTTTCTAACATTGTTAGGAAACTATTTGTCGTATTAAAAATTAGTGAAGGACAGGGATCAGCGAAGATATCAACTAGATGATGGCATGTATCTCTAGGGGAAAAAACAGTGTACCTGCTTTTTGCAGAAGAGACCGGTAAGAAAGTCGCCGGCGCAAATATAATGACCGGCTGCGTCATCATAAGTCGGCGCCAGCGAAGTTTAGCGCCGTCAGAGTCGGCGTTAGTTTATTAAAACGTCGACGTTTTCTTGCCCAACCAGTCAGCGCTATTTAAGCGAGCATTTTGAATCGCGTTGAAGAGTCTTACCTCCGTTTGAATTTAAAAAAAAAAAAAAACAAAACAAAACAAAGGTCAAGTGGAAACTGGGGCCGAAAATAAGAACCAAGCTTGGAAAATTGAGAGTAAAGATTCATGCTTGAAAGATAGGAGTATTTTTGGGCAAACAAGCTTTGAAGCTTGACATTGATAGGCCTTAAAAAAAAAATTTGAGTACGGGTGACCTTCTAAGCTTTATTTCTCTTTTTTTACTTTTCTTATTCCAAATGTATCGTTTGACTTGGCACTTAAAAAATTTTTAAGTATGCTCATGCCACACACTCTTTAACTTTGATGATATGCTCTTCCTCTTAGCTTCTCCTCACGATCTCACTCTCTCCTCCCTCTTGGCTTTTGATCTTTATAGAGGACTCACGATACTCTCACCTCTCGTCTCGCGATCTTTGATTCTCAACTTTAAGTGACACCATGGGTGCTGGATTGCAGTGCTTCTCCTCACACAATCTCACAATTTGCTCTCCCTCTTGCATCTATCTTGGCCTTTGTCTCAATCTAGCCTCTATCATTGTGTCAGGAGCCTCTACCTCATGTTGTCGAACCTTAGAAGAAAACTATAGATTTAGGTTTGTTATGAGCATTCATCATTTTCTCCCCTCACCTTTCATTCTTCTTATTTTGCTTCCATTTTTCCTTCTTTATTTTTGTTTATCCATCTTCTTTGAAGCTGCAATTTTTGTCTCATCTAATATATTTCTAAAATTAAAAAGGAGTATGTAAAATTAAAAATGAATTGATTCAAATATTATATTATTAAAATAATTGATGTTAGTTCTATTGTCATTTTTTTTATAACCAGGGAAGATAAAACAAAGCCAAACCTTTTGCCATTTTTTTAAAAATGATGTTGACAATTTTTTTTTTAGTAATTTCTTAAACACAATTACTTTGTAAGGCTTATTTTTTAATTTTGATTAATGTTTTGCTTTGTGCTACAAAAGTTTTTATATTCATCAAATTTGATAAGATTGACCCAGATTAAATATTTTTATTTTCGTTTTAAGATTTGATCAATATTCTATATATGAATTTGTATTTGTTAATTTTGTTAAATTTTTTATTTTTATTTTAAGATTTTTAACATATTTGTTAAAAAATGGGCCCGAGCCCCTAAACCTTTCAAATAAGGGTTGAATTTCAGAAACCAGTCATTTTTCAAGAAATCAAGCTTAAAAACTTGAGTCCTTAAATGCCAAACTTATATGGACCAGATCTGCCATTTTCTCATCTTTAGTGGAAACAAAATAAAAAGAAAAATTTTTCATTCCCCATATTTGGAAATAAAAAAAATGAGCAAATATCACAATAATTACAATATTCTCATATCAAAATATATCATATTTTTTGTAATAATTTAACATCATCAAGATAATTTAAAATCAAATCTTGGTGAAAATATTTTTTTATTTTAATAATTAGTATTTTATTATCACCATAAGCTTACACGTATTTTTGTGTAGAAGAATGTTTAAAAGGCAATTTTTTTCCTTTCAATTTTTTCACCATAAGCCTCGCCATTTAATAAATATTCTGCTATGCGTGTGTAGCGCTCTACATGGAAGAATCAGATATAAAGTGAGTGAGTCCGGGACATTCAACAACGTCAACAAGACACATAGAATTGTCAAGATGAGATGAAGAAGAAGGTGAACGATGCACGCGCAAGAGCAGGAGAGTGATGGAGACGATTGCCCTTAGTGGAGAACGCGCCAAGGTGGGAAGGGAAAAAAATGAAAGCAATCGAGCATAAGGGTAGCGTGTAGAATTATTTTTTCTTGTTAAAATCTCTCCACATGTAAAAAAAAAAATTTAAATAAAAAATGTAATGGGTCTCGTATCTTTTTTTTTTTTCTTCTTTCCACTTTTCTTTCTTCATCCAAATGAGGAAAGACTTGTTTTCTCTCTTATTTTCTCCCCTAGTTTTATTTTTTCCTGAAATTCTCTCTCCACCCAAACCGAGTATTATCTCTTGCTTGTTTTCATTTCTTAAGGTTAGTTTTGGCTTGCTGAAAGTTTTTAACTTTATTTCCACCAGGCTTGTTCAGAATTTCTGATTTTATTGTTTCATGCTGCTAATTAAAGTAATTTTCTCTTAATTTTTTTCAAAAGCATTAGGTATCTTGTGCTAAAAAGTGGGACAATATCTTTCTCAATACTTTCTTTATCATAAATTATAAGACAATTTGAGATAAGATTGTGATGATACTTTATAAATTTATTTTTTCAAAATAAAACTATGAACTTTTAAAAATACCTCTATGCACTTAATCATTACGTTAAGTTATAATATCATATCAATCTCTCTCCATTTAAAGGTAATATTGAAAAAGTTTCATTAATAAAATTTTATTTTTCTCAAATTGTCCTATATTTTAGAACAACAAAATTCCTTCAAAGCTATTATTTTATAATTTAAGATAAAGAGAGCAATTTTTAAGAAGCAAAGTCGCCCCTCTATATAAACTTGTTATCTTCTATGTTATATGCTAACGTGAAATAGTCATGGGGCTTAAGCACAATGATGGTAAGACATTTTAACCCATTTTGTCAATATTTTCGTTGCTAAAATCAAGTTTAATTCTTTCACTATCACTTCCGTTCCTTTTGACCCACATCAAACGATCAAAATGGATCAAATGCCTTAATTATTATTATTATTATATGTAAGTCGTACAATTATTTCATGCCAGCAAGTATTGAAAAAAATGATGGACTCTAATGAAAGAATGATTTTGCTTTTGGAAAAAAATTATTGATGGGAATATTATCTCACGCTTCAATACATTATAATCAGTGCTTTTAAAAAAGTTAGAAAGAAAATGATCTTTAACCCAAATATTAAAGTGCGAATGTCATTGTGATTGAAAGTTTATTTTCTTGGAACTGTTGAAATGAGGGAATCGTGCTTCGCAACCTAAGAATCATGATTCATCCCGACCAAATTAACAAGGCTATAATGTCAAGAAATAAAATGGAATAAACTAGGAAGAATTATACACAAATCTCACACAACATATTTAAATATTATAAAACCTATTGACAATTTGATAAAAGAAAATGACCTTTTTTCAGTTGCCAATATATCTTATAATATTTAATATGTCGTGGGGTCTTCAAAGTAATTCTCCTAATAAAACAATGGGAAGGGGCTTCTTTTCACTACAGCAGAGATAACATTAAAAATTTAGATTAGATTTCATTATTTGTATTTGATAGTTTTTAAAAGTATAAATTAATATATATATATATATATATATATTTTAATTGAAATACAAGCAAAAGCCTAAACAGAAAGTCTTACATCAATTTTATCAGATCGTTATAAGTTAATACATTCTATCAGAGATTCATTCAAAACAGTAAAATCGCTATCTCTATTATAAGCACCTTTAGCAATTCGATCTGCTAATTGAAGCAACTCTCTATTAGAGTACAAGAGTTCAACATCTCAATTTGAGAACAATAATTTCCTCGTTTCTTAAATATCCTCGTGGTGTGTGGTTAACATCCCCTCCAGTTTTGAGCAATTGGAGGCCTTCAAGTGAATCCATATAGCATTTAACTCTAGTTTGTTGGAGCTGTTTGGACAAAATTAAAACCATTTTTAGAGATAATATTTCTGCAGCAGTGGGCGGAAAATAACCAAATCTAGCTTGAAAACCTATGATCCAGCTTCCCATTGCATGTCTTGTTGTATGTGTGTCAAAAGTGTGTGTGTGTCAAAGTTTCACATTGACTAAAGGAAGGAATCTCCTAGTGTATATATACTAAGGAATGAAGTGAGCTAGTAAAATGGGTTTGGAGGAGAAGTGGTCTCGCGCACATGAGATAGGCCAATTCAGAGCTTTCGCAGTTGAAATCAGCCGATTTGCCCCCCCTGCGCGCTAGTTCAAGAGTAACCGAGCCTTTAATCCGGCAGTAATCCTCCAACGTTCATGTCCACCTTCGGGCTATATATAGCCATGCGTGCAGACATAGCTGTGCCTTTAATCCGGCGGTAATCCTCAACGTTTATGTCCACCTTCGGGCTATATATAGCCATGCGTGCAGACATAGCGGTGCGGAGTCTTGACTGCTCAGTGTTCTCTCCTCCTTGTTTAATCCTGGGAATTGCCGGTCGTCTAACGGTGTGCCGGAATAGTTTTTAAGGACAGTATCCTTCCGGGCACGACTCAAGCAACCCGTACCTTTCCGTTCGCGTTTCTGCCGGTCACCTCAACATGTCTATCGACACCACCACTTGTAGCATATCCAAATTGATTTACCAATCCATCCGCATCCATCTGAAGGTAGCCATCTGCTGGGGTGATCCATTTCTCCTCAGGTTTTCCAGTGCTGTGAAACACTTGATGCTTGAGCTTTCCATTTTCAACATATTCCATAAGTTGTGACTTCATATTATGAAAAATATCAACCATTCCATGCCTTTTTCCATCAAAAGTTCCCTTACATCTATTTTTCCACAATGTTCAGCAGGTGGTACTAAACATTGTGGTCCATTTCCATTGAAACATCTTAGGATCACCAAAAGTGCTATTAGCATTTCGTCTCAGCCAAAC